CACCATCTCTTTCAGACATGACCAATTTATTCAGAAAATTCAAATTTCAGTTTGGCAGAGTATATCCAGGAGCAGAGAGTTTGGGACAGTCATTTCATTGGAAGCAATCACATTTTCTAGAGCTAAATGTCCATGGGGTAGTATCTAAAGAAAGCAAAACTTTTAAAAATAATTTAGTGTGCATGAGGTGATAATCATAAATATTGGCAAAGTGAACAAAACAATCAGTTTACCCAATCAAAGCATGAAAAATGCTTATTCTAGTAGTACTCCTTTACTCAATTTAGTTCAACACACATTAAGCACCTAATTTATTCAAGACACTGGGCTAGCTGCTGGGGTTGATGTGGAAATACAAAAATCACCAAGACACAATCCCTGTCCTTAAGAAATTTACAACAGCACATATGAAAATGAGTGCTATAGGTGAGGTACAAAATAACTGCTCTAAAAACACGGAGGAGAGTTAACTTCTCAGTAGAGATTAAAGTCAGGACCCCCTTAATTTGGTGCTGTGGGTGAGGCAGGATACAGCATGCCAAGAGAAGTCTGGTGCCCAAGCATGGCTTGGCACCAGGAAATGGACTAGCTCCTCCATAGCTTTAAATGTGTGACTAGGGCAGGAGTATTCAAAGGTATTTATTTTTAATTCCTCTCATCAATGTTAGCCCATTATAAGAAAAAAGATCGACAGGAAGTGAGGTCTATTAAAAAAACAAAGTTTGAAGAGGCAGGGACATGAGCAGGAAACACCATTATGTGTAAACTCAACCCCATGCGTATATATACATCCAGTAGCTTAAGTAACATCATTAAAGGGGGGAAAATCCATTGGGAGCACCACAGTTCATCATGGCAGAACAAGCTCTCTCTTGTTAGACTATAAGACTAGCTTTGGCTCCTGCCAGTGGAGGATGTAATGCTACACGGAAATTGGAAGTCCGTATTTTTAAACATGAATTAAAGTCCTTAAACGTTACCTCTTCAACTCAGCATAAATGATGAAGACAGTTTAGAAAAGATAATTTGTGGAGAGAGATTAAGTCTTTCTAGGCTAACTGATCTAATGATGACTTGGCATGCTGTATTTCCTATTTTTAAAAAAATACAGGATGATCAAGTCTTTCCTGAATAATAACTATGGTTAGAACATACCTCAAAAGGAATTTTAACAGAACATACTGCTAATCAAACATCACAGTTTCTGCTTTTGTAATTTATACAAATAAACTTAGTTATAATACTTTAGGGAACACTTACAAACACAATATGTAATGTTGCTTTATTATTCATCAGCCTTAACTTCTACAAGTTTGGCTTATATTATTTTACCTTAAAAAAAAAAAACCTACTTCTTTTATAAATCTCATTTTCCCACAGAATTAATTCACTATCCAATTTTAAAATAACTTTTAAAAACAGAAACCAATAGTAAATTGGAATGCTAATACCTGCCAGGCTTTGATTAAAAAAAAAATATCTTACATAAACAGCACCTCATAAAATCAAAAACTTCTTTTGAAATACAAAGTTCAATTCTTCTTGCCCTCTTAGTAACTGCTAATCAGAACCCCCATCCCCACCCCCGCCTTCAATCCAGGAACTGTTCTCGTTTGTTAAGTCACATAACACATAGTATTTTTTAGCATTAATAAATTATTGATATGGTATCATGAATAGCTATTTTTTTAAAAACAAAGCAACTCAGAGGACTAGTAGAACAAATACAATAGCACACTAAAATGATTTAAAAGAAAAAAGAAATTTTAAATATACCTTATCCTGTTCTTGTAGTAATTCAAATTAAAAACCAAAGGATGAAGTATCATTTCAGACCTATATACATCAAGATGCCAGTTCTTATAAAAATGTACTTTAGTTGTAAATGCTAGGTTATGCAAAAATAAGTTTATATCAATTGTATTTAACTTTAATGAATTTCCCCCAACTCTAATATTAAAAATGTTACAAGAACTTAAATTTTAATGGCAAAAGTTCTTATTTTCCCCATCTATTAAAAAAAGATTTTATTTTTCCCTTATTAACATACAATGCCCTATTGTTAAGGCACAACTTTTTTTAGAATAAAAATGAAACCATAGACTAGGTTTATTTTATACAACAGTTACAAGACAGACTTTTTATAGGCATATACTGCAAATAATATAGCTCAGATTCAACCAAGATCAAAAATGAAAAATCAGTTTCTGTCCAGGACCAGTCAACACAGAACCAAGATAAATAGCTGAAGCTAGAATAACCCAAGTAGATTCTATTTTTAACCTGCCAAAGATGGTCTCCGTAAGGCCATTTTTAAGGTGTTATCAAAGGAGAGGCAAGCTGGATATTTTCTTGAGGAACAGGGGGTGGTGCCACCCCAGCTTTCTTTGCTTTTGCTTTGCTATCAGAGATAGTTGTCTCCTTCAAAGCCCGAGTGAGATCCAATTTTTGAACATCTGAGACAAGGGCAGAGTTCCTGATCCCAGGGCTCAGGGCAGAGGTTTGCTCGGCATCCTCCCTCTGCTACCCTTCCCGGGAGCTTTCTTCCTTCCCACCCTCTTGTTAGCCACTTACCCTAATTCCTCCGACCCAATTTGCCCAATATTCAAGGGGAGCACCCAGCGAACAGAATTTGCACAATTGTTACTTAAAACACATGAACTAAAACACTATTAGCTTCATCGTATAGCCGTAAACAATTCATCTGAATGCTGATTTAAAATCCAGAAAAATAATAAAACCCAGAAAAAATACAATTAGAGGAAAGAGGACAATTGAATACCAGATATGACCCATCTTGTAGGCCCTTTGTAATCTCAACTGAAATAGGGACACAAGTATGAAAGCTAACAGAAAAAGAAGGGTTTTCATTAGCAGGCTTATATACCTAATTCTTGTATCTTCTGCATTTTCATTCTGTGAAGAAAGGATCTGAAGAAATGCTTTGTAAAGACAGAAGCACTGGATTAGACTCGATTGTGTAAATCTTTGTGGTTTTGAAGGTGATTTTCCTTTACCTTTTGAGAACATCTTTGAGAAGTGACGGTCAACCAGAATTCTTGCCCAGCTTCATCTCCCTAAGAACTTAACTCAGTTCTACCATAATATTTCAGCAGTCAATCTTGAAAGAAGTAGGTCTAGGAGAGAATTCAGGGGTTAAGTTTTGGGGGAGAGTACTGGTCCAGAAAGAGGGGCAGATACAGAAGAACATCAACAGGCTGCAGAGCCAGGGAATGAGGTAGAGACGAAGGGCAGAGCAAAGGGACAGCTAATATATACTGAAGTTACAGATGCCACTACTTTTACTAAATGTGATGTGTAAAACTCAAGGTTAAGGGAACACTGTGCTCTAAATGAGGGCAAAGATAAAGGAAAGGGAAGACCAGGAGTTGGGGAGGTGAGGCTCACTAAAAGTTCAACTCTAGTTATTTTGCTACATTTTAGAAGTAATTGTATTTATGTAATTCTGGGAGATAGTACATGCCTCACTTATTCATGGTGTTTTACTGGTATGTTCTGGCACAATAATGTCTCACATTAATAAATATAAATACTGTTCTTTGTACTTATATTAGTTCTGTAATGTACATTATCTTTTAGAAACAAAAAAAATTAAAAATGAATTTTCTACAAAACCACGTAAAAACCATTAGTAACTAGACTATACCCAACAAATTATAAAAATAATGCATTAATCTGTCAGCCAATATCTTAATTTTTATACACAACACAAGCCCTTCGCAAAGTCATTATCTACATGCAGATTAATGGAATTAAAAATAAAACGAAAGCGATCATGCTTGCTAATATGATCTAGTTTCATTTCCATTAAAGTTTCCATGTAATATTTAAAAAAAACCTCCAATTAAATGCCACTTCTTAATATGCCAGTCTTCTTGCCCCATGTCTGACACACTACAATTAAAATAAATGCTTATACCATGGACTCTGGAAATAGTATATGCCTCTACCATCTCTCCTGAGGAAAAAAATATTGTTTCATTGAAAAGTAAAAAGATGAGGTCTCCAATATTCTATTCTGACTCCCCTAAGTCCTGTTTAAATATCAAGTGTTCCAACTACCAAAACTTTGTATGAATTTTCACTGAACCAAATCCTACCTATCGAGGCCCACTACACTTTCAGGTCTGTGACCAGTTGCTAGAGACTGGGTGGAAACATGTGCTTTGTACTAAATTCAGTTCCCTAAGGAGGAATGAAAGGACTCTGGAGACTATATAAAACTCAGGCCTAAAGTCGTATGCACATTCCACCAGAAGAGGATGTCCATTCTTTGGTCAATTTTACCTCCAAGATAGGAAAAGAAATGGAAAGTTGTTTTAAAGAAAGGGAAGAAGAAAACAATGAGCAATCCCCTTCCCCTCTAATCAGTATATTATAAAATACAAGGACATCAAAGTCACATGAAATAACGGTACTGTTTACACGAAGTTTCCAGATAACATACTAATAGAAATCCAACATCCCAATGAAAGTTCACAAAACAAGGATCTAATTACAGTGACACAGTGAATATGCCACCTTTCTTCCAGTCTGATTCTGCCTACTGAATTAAAAGAAAAATTAATCAAAAAGTAACATTAACCTTTGTTATTTTAATCTGAACAGAAACATTAAAATATCTTAAAAATTACTGCTTTGAGATTAGATCAGATCCATTTATTAATGGTGAAAGCAACCATAAATCATTCTTGGTAAGGACAGAACCTCTATATACAAACCTGGCAAAGTTTTTAAAAAGTACTAAAACTTTTGAAAATAACAAAAGCTAGCTCAATTTGTGTAATATCAAATAACTCAACTAACAGAATAATTTATATTCGTATAGTGCATAATTTATCCCTAAGGAGAAAATGTACCAAAATCCTAGTGCTAACCCTGAAACCTTAATCCAAACCTTACGTGTTAAAGACTAAATGTTGGTTAGGAGGGAAAGGATGGGACCATGCAATGTCCACAGAGCAAACAAAAATCAAGAGTAAGATGGCAGGAATGTTGGACCCATGGGTACAAATACACTTTTCTGTACCAAAACAAAAAACAAAACAAAAATACACACATAGAAACTACAATTACAACGCAATCATCATATAGCTATATTCTCGACTAGCTGGTGAACTTATTATTAAAATTTCAAAGAAAAAAAACCAATTTAAGTTTTTTCTTTTTTAATCCATAAGAAATATTCAGTAACAACAGATAAATAGAGCATTTGTTGCATATTAATGAATGTGTGGCTTCTTGTGCTTTCCATCTGAATTAGGGGTAAAAACCCCCAATTACTTTATTTTCAATGAGATACAACTGTAAAGTAGTATTAAATCTACATAAAATCAATCCTTTCTTCAGCCCAATTCTGTATGAAAGTACTAACAAATAGTGAAGATTCATGATGTTGTGTGAAAATGGTGACTCATAACAATGTAGACTCAGCTATAGATTTTAATTCACAAATTGTGTGTGTGTGTGTGTGTGTGTGTGTGTGTGTGTATGCAGGTGTGTGTGCGCGCGCCTCGTGTAGGACAACCATACGAAAATAGTCTCAAAAATAAAGACAATACTTGAGACACGAAGCAACCCACTTTCCCTGATCTTGCATCCTATTACAGGGACAGTAAGTCTCTGATGCTTCATAAATACTTAAAAAGTTCAGGATGGCCTTAACCATGCAGAGTCTCCACCGATGCGTTTGAAGCCCCCAGACGCTTCATGTTGACTGTTCAACTGAGGAAGAGCTGTGATCTGTGACTGCCTTTGCTTATTTATGTCCTGTCTTCTCTAGATCTGGAAGTTTTCTGACCAGAGCTTGGTGGTTCATTCTGATGCTAGCAAGAAGCCCTCCTTCAATGCCGTCGGAACCAGTGTAACTGATTTCTTCACCACTCAAGGTAGTCATATGCCCCCCAAGGGCTTTTAAGATGGCATTGCCAGCACATATATCCCATTTTTTGATATATGTCACATGGATATATAGATCAGCTTTTTCTTGACTTTTATCAGGCACATCCAAGAGTGCTAAAACTTTATAACCTAAAAGGTAAACAAAGAATTTAGATTACAACTCAAAAGATTTAAAAAGTAGCTTACTTTTTAAGAGTAATTGTGAAGAATAACAGCACACAACAGGCAGGAGTTCTCTATACTATCTCTACATAGACTATACCCAACATGTGAAATCTAAAATTATTTAAAAATAGTTTTGTTCTTTTTTCAAGAAAGTTAACAGTGCAGACATTAAATCCAAATGAGCAAAAAATATATAAAGGACTTTACAAAGCTATTCTCAAGTGTAACCAAATACACATCTATAATCTTTTAAATTTAAATCTACTTTGTGAATGTTTTTACATTCACTGTGTATCATTTCCTATGGAATACTATACTGAAGCTAAATACCCACGGATTTCATCTGAATTTCTAGGAACAATGGATTTGAAAGAAGATAAAATAACACAATCTCAAGCCTTTTTTGTAATGAAGCAGAATTTTTTTTTTTTTTGATGAGGCATAATTTTTTAAAAATAATTAAACAAAGAGAAGAAACCAGGTCTTGAATCTGGTTTATCCCATTCATACTGGGTATTCTGAACATTACCCTTCCTAACCAACATTAACAGAGGGCTTACAGGGAAATAATAAAGTCATACTAAGTAAGGTACATATATGTAATCACTAAATTAAAACTATTAGGCTTAAAAGTTAATAAGCATTACTCTTCCCTTTATTACTATAGTGAAAAGGTTTTCAAACACACATTTCAGACTATAATTTCTTACTTATTTGAATTAAAACACTTCTGTCATATTAAACAGCACTCAAAACAAGGGCAGGCAAATGGCCTGTGAGCCAAATCCAGGCCATGCACTATTTCTGTACAACCCTCAAGCTGTGAATGGTTTTCATATTTTTAAAGCGTGGTGACAAAACAAAAATCCAAGAATAGTAGGCAAGAGAGTCTACACGTGGCTCATAAAGCCTGAAATATTTACTCTCCGGCCTTTAAGAAAAAGTAAGCTGACCCCTGGTCAGCAACAGGTAATAAAACAGAGCAGAACATACAGTAAACAGAGTGGCTCCCAGACTCTGGCTCATCCCAGACATACAAGCTGAGGAGTTCACAGGTGTTACAAGTGCCCAGGGTTTAGTCATCCTAGTAATACTTATGAGGATCCCTGGCATCTTGGGGCCACAGGGAGCATGGGACTGTGCTTGATCTTCCCTTCTCTCCCTGACAGTCCTACAGTTATCCTAACAGCACAATTACTTTGAAATTACATCATATATAAAATCACTGTTGCTGATACATCACTGACATGAAGATACTTTTGTAGTATTTAAGGAACAGCAGTCACTATACTGAGTCTATTGGCCCTACAGTGAGGTGGTTTCATTCTTTCCTTTCTTTTTAAAAAAAAAAAAAAAGATTTTATTTATCTATTTCACAGTGAGAGAGAGAGCGAGCACGCACATGCACAAGCAGGGGGAGTAGCGGACAGAGGGAGAGGGAGCAGCAGGCCCCCCCACCAAGCAAGGAAATCAACATGGACGCTGACCCTAATGAGCCACCCAGGCGCAACTGTGAGGTCCTTTCTAACAAGAAGGCACGTGTGACTGAAATCTCACCCTAGAGATAACCAAGTAGGAGACCATGCCTGTCTGCAAAGTACACTCTCCATTCTCACTTTTTTCCCAAGCACAGGAATATAAAATCTTTCTCCCGACATAAGCCTTAACCTTGCTGGGACACTGTCCCCAGGCACTACAGGGGAGTTGGAACGTACCAGCACCACCAGCTGGGATAATGGTAGTCTGGTTTCCAAAACTCTGAAGAGCAACCTGTTTGACCATTCCTGAATGTGAGCGTGACACTACGATCCTTGGGGTCTTCTCATTGTAGGAAGTGCGGGCTTTCACATTGGACCCACCATCTACCATTGCCCAAGCTGAAAAGGAAATATAATATTCATTAGTAGCACTGAAACTTTTTGAAACAGGAACTCAAAGTACCAAGAATTGACCAACAAAATACCCTTTTCCCCAGAATTACTTGTATGTTCTCCCCAAAAATAGAAATACTTTTTTTCTGAGAGCAAGTAATATTTAACATTTTTATACATTAAGATAGGCAAATATTAAGACAAAGCTAAAAAGGCCACATAATCCTGCCCAACCAGAGATAATGACTACTAAAAACCTGGCTTAAGAACTCCCAGGCTCTACCTCCCAGTGAGGTGCTAAATAATACTGCATCAATTATCTCTCTGTACCTAATCTGGCTTCCTTCCCTACCTTACACAACTTTGATCCCAAGGTACTCTTCCTGAATATCCTGCATGCTAATCTCCATCCCCAAAGTCCGGTTCCTGGGGAACTCAACTACGACAACCTAGGACATAAAGACAACTAGTTACCCTGAATAATTCAAAATTTAAAACAGGTTTTTTCCTCCTCCTATTTTCTTTTCCTTACTACTCCTCCTCCTACTGTTTTCTCCTCCTATCTACTTCTGATGTATTTATGGTTTCAATGATAAACATAAAACAGAGAGGTGAGTTAGATTTACACATCTGCTTTATCATGAGAATATAAAAAGAAAATGCTCTAGATTTCAAAATAAAACAGAAATTTCTAAGAAGGTGAGGAGACCCTAGAAATGGCCTGAAATAGTTTTCTTTACTAACTACACCAAGCTATACAAGAAAATAAACTTACTCAGAATTATCCCAATTAGACTGTTGTTCTAGCAGTCACTCACTATGGGGTAAAACACAGTCCACCATGGCTAGCAATGAAAGCAGCTGCATTACCACTTACTCCCGGCTGCAGGAAAAAATAAGAAAAATGAACAGAGTGTCTGGGTTTCTGAGCTGCCCAAGGATGATGGCAGTCTTTTGGACTCCTCTCACACTTCTTTCTGAAAACCATACACTGCAACAAGAAGAGCAAATAACACCACCCTTAATCAATAGCTAAAGAATAAGAAGGAGATGAAGAATAGTCATGAACACAAATTTATGAAAAAGAGGGAAGTAAATACCGAAGATCAGTAGAATGAGTGCCAGAGCTGAGCCTAGTGTGGGGAATACGGCAGGAGCTTCACAGAAGTGCCAAGAGGGTGGAGGCCTCTCAGTGGTGGTAGGACTCAGAGAACAGCCAGGATTTCTCCCCAGAAGAAAAAGGTCCCAACTAAAATGAGAACTACTGAAAGTAGGCCCGAGATATGGCAACAGAGCAGTTATAAGAGGAGGCCTGGAGAAGACACAGAGCCAAAGTGAAGTTCTCACAACAGACCAGATGACATACAACATCTTTCAGAAAGTGTCCCCATGAGACAAATGGAAGACAGCAAGCAGAAGAAAAGAACAGGTTGAAGATAAGGACTTTACTAAAACAAGACAAGATCCAGACAAGTGAAAACAAAAAAGATGCCTGATAATAAAGATAATGCCTTCCTCGCTCTAACAGAAAATACATTTCCTGAACTGACAACAACCCAAACTCCTTTTCTGCCACCTTCCCATCTACTGCCGGTGGCCGGCCCAAATGTAAGAAATATGTACAACTGCAATGTCCACTAAGAAGTCTAAGAAGAAAACACAATCAATGAAGGTTAAAACATTTCAGGCTACTTGAAAATTTCTCTAAAGCAGAGTAAAACTAACACAACATTCGAAGACGATTAAAAATAAATAAGCAACAACAACAAAAACACTATGGAACAAAATATAACTCAGGAAAGATAGAAGATATGAAATGGGAACGCACATAATACAGGAAAGAAACTGCAAACAACAACAAAAAGACAAAATCATTTAAGACTTAGCACTAGATCACAGGATACACAGAAAGGCAACAGATTGATTGAAAAGCACAGCAAGCAATGAGAAAAGCAAAAAATAAGTGAAACAAGCAAACAGGTAAAGGGGACCAGAGAGAAGGTTAATAGACACAGAAGTCTGAGCTACTCACAAAGGAAAGAAAATCAGATTATCAGCTTTTCTGCCAATAAGCTTCAACATGCACCCACACAGATACTGTATCAGTCCAACAGTTTCTACCCAAGAAAAAAAGAGTGTATAGTGAGTGTCCTACTAAAATTCCGGTCGCGGGGAACCTTCAGAATATGACCTCATTTGGATATAGGGTCTTTGCAGATGTAATTCAAGTTGAGGTCATATTGGATTAGAGCGGGCCCTTATAAAAACAGATGACAGAGAAATATATACCAGGAGAATGTGAACTGGAGGTACGAACTGGAGTGGTATGTCTACGAATCAAGGCATGTCAATGAACACCTGGAGCTACCGGAAGCTGGAAGATGCAAGGGAAGATTCTTTCCTTGAGCTTTCAGAGGGCACACAACACTGCCAACAACGTGCTATCAGACTTCTGGCCCTCAGAACTGTGAAAAAATAAATTTCTGCTGTTTTAAGCCCTCTAGTTTATGGTAATTTATTAGAGTAACCCAAGGACACAGGGCTAAACCAAAGAGTCTATAAGTAGCTGAGAGTCTTTCAAGAATGAAGGTTACAGAAAAAGCTTTTAACACGTGAGAACTCACGTAATATGACCTGGATGAGCTAGCTCTCCTAAAGTAATCTACTAGAGGACAAGTTTTATCCAACCAAAAGATGACTGAAGATCTCTTAGCAAAAGCACTGTTGGTCAACACTGAATAAATTTAACTGTGGATTTAAGAGAAAACCAAAGATAGGAATACAGGTGGAAGAATAAAAGTGTGTGTCAATGTTATCTCACAGTTGACTTGGGAGAGTCGAAGGATACCATTTAAATCAGAAGAGCTGAATGGCAGAAACACACATATCAAGAAAGATATGACTTACTAAAATGGGATGGTAGTCAAGGAGCCTAAAATAAGTTGATTTCATTGTTGCTCATAGGGGAGAACCAACAGAGGAGACACCTAAGGCAAAGGACCATATAATGGCATTTAAACAAAAAGGCATATATAGTTAGTAAAAGTGGGCAAGGAAAAAAACAGATTTAACTTAAAAAACAGTATCTGTAGTTTGAATAGCAGTGAATATACAAAAATCCATGAGACCTTAAGGATATCAAAAAAATAAAGGCAAAGTTTGCTCTTCATCGAAAAAATAACATTTGTTCCCCCTGGAGGTAGTTTTTACCCTAAGTCCTTACTTTGAAATTGGTGAAGAAAAAAAGTTAAACATGTATTTTGTCTTCCTAACAGGAACTACCTTTCAGGATAAAAAAGTAACTCCAGCTGATGGAAGAAATTTCTCAGTAGAATTCCAGCTCATGTATAGAAAATACAACAGAATTAGAAAATCCCATTTCACGTCTTTAATAGATCTTAAAATTATTCTTTGAAACGATAAATAGAATCCCGATTTCAAATGGTGCCAAAATATTTCTCCAGACTACTTGCTGGTAGCAAGGGAATCAAAATAATTTATAACAGAGATCTGGTCAAGACCACTTGAACCATCTTACAGCATCACTAATAATAAGACTAGATATTTATGTCATATAAAATGATGCAGTAGGAAATACATGAAGAAAATCTACAATGTATTCTTGACAAAAATCAACCTTAATCCAATCAAGACTTCAGATATAATTTGCATTTTATAAGAAAAAGAAGATGAAAAGTAAGTAAGTTAAATGACACTCTGAGGAAATAATCAGAAGAGTCCAAAAAGCAGGACATTATGTAACAACTAACTTGATCTCAACATGTCAATGTCATGGGGAAGAACAGGACTGGAGGTTGTTCTAGATTAAGAGAACTTAACAAAACCACCAAAAAAAAAAAAAAAAAAAAAAAATGCATGTTACTTGACTAGATCCTGGTTTGAAGTAACCAGTTATAAAATCCACTTTAGAAACAACTGGAGGAAATGTGAATATGGGATCAATTAGGGAATAAACGTTAATTATATTATTATATTCATAATAGTACAAAAAATAGTATTACATTAATAGTATATTAAGAGATGCATAGTGACATATATAGGCATAAAATGTCACAATCCTTGTAATTTTCTTTTAAGGACATTAAAAAAAAGCAAATATAAAGAAACGTTCAACTGTTAAATTTTGATGAAAGAGCATATGAAAATTCTGTACAATTTTATGTTTGTTTGAAATTATCCACAAAGAAGTTAAAAAATGAGAAAGGAGAAAGCAAAACAAAAAAAACCCTCAATTCTCTTTAGAAATGATCAGTAAAAACATGGTTTTATTAAGAAATGAATTTACAATGCTGCATCTCTAGAGGTCAGTATTGTGTAAGAGAATAAAGATAGCCTATCTTAGTACCAGAATAATCTTAGATAAGAATTAGTAATTTAATATTTTAAAAATGTATTTCATGTTACAGAATTTCAATAAATTCTGTCCTAACACATACATGGACAAATTATTTCAAGCACTTTAAAAAAATTCAGTAGGTGCTTAAATGATTGATGATGATGACAAGGTAATCATGAAAAGGTAAAATAGCAGCTAACAATGTGTTTACTCTATCTGAGGATATGCTAAAAAAAAAAAGTTGAGTGGGAAATAAAAAGTGACTGGTACTTTGCTACATATTTCAGACATTATAACTTGGCTGCAAATTTCCACTGCATGGATATACTATTACACTCATATATTTATATATTACTTTGTTAAAATACTATTTAAGTACCTGTTGCTTCTTAGGATTTCGAACGCAGTGAACTACTTCTAATTAAGTCTGGTAAGGATTTTGATCAGTTTTGCTCTACCTGCTGCCAACAACAATACTATCTAGCTCCCATTATAGTCAAGTGTAGCTAAATTCTGGTTAGCATATAATACTTGATAGTTGGTACTCTGCCAACATCAATATACAGTCTGGATCTGAAAATAACAGTCCAAAAAGAGAACACAAGCCAAACACACCTTCGATCCAGGAACAGAAGGTCACCCCACACCTAATTAAGGACTTATTGATTCTTCTAGAATGTTTGCTGACTAGCAAGTGCCTTTGTTCCAGCATACTGGACAACTTAGCAGCATCACAGAAGAACAGGGCATTTTCTTACAACTTACAGAAACCATTTTGAAACACAAGCTGTTCCTAAGTTAGAAACTTTGGGCTTTTTTATTTTAGAGGAGGTTAAGACTCTAGGGGGAGGGGATACATAGTCTCATGGAATAAATTATTTTTTAAATGGGCATTTTTTATGATCCTTATTCTCCCACCCCTAAAATGAACAGATGTGGAAATCAGGACCCAAAGAATGTGAATCTCTTCGCCTATCCAGTACCAACTTCCTCTTCATTTCCTTTATTATGATTCTAATTCTCTCTGGAGTAGCAGGCTGTTTGCAGCTAATGGGGCCATGTGACATTTGGCTAATGAGATGGAGCAGAGGGCTTAAAGTTACTCCTTCCTAATACAAAGAATATCTGGGATAGATCTTTTGTCCCTCTTCTTTCCCCTTTCTTCCAGCCTGGAAGAAAACCATGGAAACTGAAAGCACCCATCTTTGTAAGCAAGCAAACAAAAAGCTACCTTCTAAGAGAAAAGGCAAAAAGAAGATTCAGGTGCTTAACAGTTATCATAAACTGAACCTTCCTGCCATTTGCCCATCTTTAACTACATGAGAAAAATAAAACTTACTTATCTGTATACAGATAAATGCAACCCTAACTGATATAGATAGGCAATGAGGAACACTATCAAAAAATGAGTCAACTATACTTCAATTTAGAAAGGAAGGAAGGAAGGAAGGAAGGAAGGAAGGAAGGAAAAGGAAAGGAAAAAAAGAAAAAAAAAAGGACTTCAAAGACTTAAACTTTACATGCCTGTTTTTCTTTCTTTAATTGAAAGTCACTATAATTCCTCTTTTATATACTTTCCAGAGTGATTTTTGAGGCTGAAATGAATTTATGTCAATAGACTTCATAAACTGTGAAAATACTAAACAAATGTGTGATATTCATAAGGAGTGGTTAGCTCTTGCTGTAACATTAGGAACTATTGGCTTTCATAAGAACTTTGCTAAGCCCCTTTTCCCATCTATAAAAAAACAAAAATAACAACACTTATCTTTGTCTCACAGAGTTATCACAAGGTTTAAATGAGATAATTTAGTTTATTGCAAATAGTTAACCACTATACAAATGTTAGGAATTGTTGAGTTATTATGAAAGTGGTGTGATATATTGAATTGCATAAAATTCCTAAGGTTGCTTCCTCCTCTAATTTAGCTGGATGACCTTGAGGAAAGTACCAAACTTCTAAGTCTCATTTCCTCATCTGTAAGTGGTAGTATTAGTAAGTGTACCCTTCTCTCATGTGTTATACTAAGTGTAGCAATACTGCTAAATTAAGTTATGCTCTAATATCCACTTGCCCTATTCTCCCTAAGTGACAGAACCCTTAAACTGGAAGCTTGGATGGCCACTGAAAAATAAAGACCACATTTCATAACCTCCCCTACGGCTGGGTTCAAGCTACGTTTTGGTTGATGGGATATGAGCTGAAGTGATGCATGCAACTTATAGGACAAACCCTTAGCAGAAAATGTCCACATCTCCCTTTGATCCTCTTCACTGGTGAAATGTGGATAAACCAGAGAGCCATCCTCAGTCAAGCAGAAGGGGGCACCAAAATTTAGCAAGGCAAAGCAACAAAAGAGAATAGCCTGCATGCCTGATCTGTTTGCATATGGACTGTTAGAGAAGAGAGAAATCAACTATTTTGTTCAAACTCTCTTATTCTGGTGCACTGTATTACAACAGCCTAAATTAGTAGCCTAACCTATAGCCTCACTTATGCAGTAAGGATTAAAGGAAACATGTGAAAGCAACCCACAAACCATAAAACAATTACATAATTAATTTTAAGGCGCACTGTTGCAATAATGACATAAATTCTTTACAGCTCATCAAATTGTTAACTGTAAAAACTATATGGATTATGAAAAGAAGATATAAGGTCAGATTAACACAAAACAGATTTGGTCTATGTTCAGCCAATCTCAGAGGAGCTGGAATCTGAGATACAAAGTATTCCGCAAAGCAAGTAAGTTTTAAGAGTAGTCAAAAATTAACCTTGTCTCCATTTCTGTCCACTTGACAGCCAGCCTTTTTATGCAGTGTCAGCCACACACTGAGGCACAGTGAGAAGGGTGGAGTAAACACCAGAGCTGGCTGTATGGATGCTGGGTGTATTTGTTTCCTAGGGCTATCATGACAAACTACCATAAACACGGTGGCTTAGAAGAAGAGAAATTTACTTTCTCAGTCTTGGAAGCTCACACATTTCACAGTTCATGAAATGTACTGGCAATCCAAAATCCAGATACTGGGACTGGTAGGGTTTATTACTTCTGGGGAATTCATTCCATGCCTCTCTTCTAGCTTCCAGCAGCTGCCAGCAATCTTTGGTGTTTTTTTGGCTGATATGCATCACTCCTCTACCTCTGTGCCCCTACCGTCCTATCCAATCCCCCATGTCTCAGCAATCCTGGTTTCTTATAAGGACACTCTCATTGATTTAAGGACCTACCCTAATCCAGGATGATCTTATCCTGATAACTTACCTTAATTACATCTGTAAAGACCTGACTTTCAAATAAGGTCACATTCTGAAGTTCTGACTGTTAGGGGTTTACGTCCCTCAAAAGATATACTGAGTCCTAATCGCCAGCATAGCAGAATCAGACCTTATTTGCAAACAGGGTTATTGCAGATTTAATCAGTTAAATAAGGCCACAGCAGAGTAGGGTGGGCTTTTCATCCAGTATGACTGGTGTCTTCATAAGAAGTAACCCAGAGACATAGGCAGAATGCCATGAGGTGTTGAAGGCAGAGAACAGAGTGATGTCTTCACAAGCCAAGGAACACAACAGACTGCTGTGAAACTATTAGAAACTAAGAGAGAAACATGGAAGAATTCTCCCTTACAGGTTTCAAAGAGAGCATGTCTCTGCCAACACCTTGAGGCCTTCAAGCCTCCAAAACTCTGTTAGACTATGTATCTGTTGTTTAAAGACACGCAGTTTGTAGGTTTTTTTCTTTTTGTTTTTATGGCAACCCTAGGAAACTAATATAGGAGTGAACATGAATTTGAGGGGGCAATTATTCAACCCAAAACATCTTGCCATTAAGGCCTTTTTCAACACAGGCAATGGCAAAATGGATACTGTCACCATCAAGAACCTCATTGCTTTAGAGAACAGTGGAGCTAAAAGGCAATAATGTTTGCCCCATGTTCTTGATGGGAATGACAAATTTAAAACTATGATGAGTCCCTTCGGGCTGTCAGTGATATTGCTTAACACCACTAATTCTTTCCCTCAACTTCTCTACCCAGACGACTCATGGCATCATTCTGGACTTGGAACCACAGGCCACACGCTATCACTGCTACTCAGAAGACCATGGCTAGCCTCTCCGGCAAACTACAGCATAATGGTTGTGCTGATACCAAAATGTCATGCCAGTATTCACTAGCACTGGAAAGGCTTTGGGTAAGGTCATCCTGAGCTGCAGGGGAAGCTCTCTGACATGGTATTCTATACTCTCAACTCCCAACATGACGATCAAAGATCTCACCTGCCATCTGCACAAAGCTAACAAACATGACTACATCAAGAAGGTGGGGTAGGCAAGGGTCAAATGAACTCTGAAACTGAACTCTGAAAAAGTGTCCAGTGCTATACTAGGATTAGCCTGATTAGTAAGACTTCCACTGTTAACAGCATCTAATTTTGATGCTGAGGCTGCCAAGTTGCCATTCCCCTTAACCACCACAATATCAAGCTCATTTTCTAATGTGACAACAGATTTGGCTAAGGTCCCTGATGGTGGATCTCAGAACCCACATGGAATCAATGTGTTAAGAGGCCTGGACCTTATCCCCTGCAACAGCACAAGAGAAAGAATTCAGCTGGTGTCAACTATACTCCTCAACACTGACTATCTCTCATTGTCAGTTTCTAGCCACTAAAGAAAGTTTAGAAAGCTCTGCTTCATTATATATTATCATTATCAATGACAAAATCCTCACTGTATCCAACAAAAGGGTAAGGTATGGTAGGGGATTGACTTTAATAATTGCTGAGCTACAGCTGAGATTCTAATAGGGTGGTTAAGTATTACAAATGTATGACTTAATAACATTAACTCTCGAAAGCTCTAGTGCATTTCTTACCTGTATATTCAGAAAATGGTTTATGTATCACTCCTAGTACAGGTTTACCATTCACAGCCACACATACCATAGTAGTGACATACTTTCGAAGATCCTCTGTGAAGAAAAAGAAAACAAAAAAAACAGTAACAAAAATTATTAAAATAATTCAAATTTTTAGTTTTAAATTTGAAAATCAACTCAAATACTTAATTAGTCTCTGTACAAGGGATGTACTCACTAAATATCATCACTATTATATGATCAGGCCAATTTTGGTTTAGGAAACAGTTTTATTTAAAAAATCCCCTCGGGGCACCTGGGTGGCTCAGTGGGTTAAGCCTCTGCCTTCAGCTCAGGTCATGATCTCAGGGTCCTGGGACCAAGCCCCATGTCAGGCGTCAGGCTCTCTGCTCCGTAGGGAGCCTGCTTCCCCCTCCCTCTCTGCCTGCCTTTCTGCCTACTTGTGATCTCTCTCTCTCTCTTTGTGTGTGTCAAATAAATAAATAAAATCTTAAAAAAAAAATCCCCTCAATATTCCCCATTTCCATTACCTATTTCTACAAAATATTTTCTAATATCAGTTACTATTAAGATACCTTGTATATCTTCCTCCTGTTCTCTAAAAAGCTACCTACTGAGTGTCTACTATGGTCAAGTTCAGTGCCTAGCAACTAGAATACAAAGATGAAGAAGCAGAAGGCCCCACACTCAGAACTTACCATTTAGAAGGAGGGCACATAGATAAGCAATTAACTTTACCATATACACCAACAGAACAGAGAAAAAATAGGAACTGGATATCTCCAGGTGAGAAACAAGGCCTGAGAGGAGCTATAGAAATGAAATCTAAGCTAGGACTAGGTGAAAAAAAAAAAAAGAAAGAAAGAAAGAAAGAAAGAAAGAAAGAAAATGGAGATGAGGTGAGTAATTCTCTCTTTTGCTACTTAATTACCCCTGGGTGCCTACTATTCTGAATTCCAAAGATAGATGTATATGCAATAAAACCTAAATTGCCCAAATCACAAGTAAATATTGCATTCTGGCTATATAAATAAATATCTGAACTCACACCTCAATATATAACTCAATAAACAAACACTTCAATAAACAGGTGTCCAATAGGAACCATTTTTTTTTGACTGCTAAAAATGTCCCTTCACTGAAGGATCAGTGATACAGTGAATCACTACCACCAACAGGAGTATGCCACAACATACTGGTTTTGGGGTCAGGGGAGAAAGGTTGAGAATAACTGATCCAGTCCAAAGGTTTCATACTGCACTGCATTAATCCTTAAAATCTAACTGGAAAAGTTGTGTAAGATTGGTAATGTATTTACTATCAAGTATATATTACCTGCCTTTGTTCTGGTTCTCCAATATATAATGGCAATCTAAAGTCTGAAATCAATCTTAATGTAGAGTCACCTGTATATTCCTGTGTAGCATCAAGTGGATCAATCCAGACAGTAACACTCTCTGCTGGTACCTCTTTAGGGGTGGCTATTTCCTTCAGGATGTCCTCAGGAATCTTACGATCCCATAAGATAACCTCCTGATCAGCTGCATCCACATGTTCCTCAGTATTTATCTGCACCAAAAACAGAAGACAGATGAAAAATTTAGAAACAAAAAAACGCCACCTGAGAAAATACAAGACAGAAAAACATTTCAGACCAAATCACACAAACTGAAAGTAGGTAAAACAGTATTTTTATTTTGAAGCATTTCACTGTAAAATGGAAATATATAAAAGAAATTCCAGCAACATCCTGTCTTCAAGTACTTTCTAATCTAATATTTAAGCAGTTTGTTGCCTAAGAGAATCCAAATATAGAGAAATATAGAAAAACTAAGAAAAAAACTATTTAAAGCTTAACATTATTTACAAAAAACAGTAGATCTAAAGTGTAAAAATAGACTGACAATATCATGGAACACTGAACACGATCAACTATAAGAGGAAGAGAAAAGTGACAATGGACTTAAAAGAAATATGCCTTAAAACAGAGAAATGATGAATGCTAAGAGACACAATGTCCTAGAAAAGTAATCATCTAAAATATACCTTTGATCAAGAGAAAAAAGAAACATGGAAATAATCAAATAGATCATAAGTTAGTATACTATAAAATGTAAACAAAGCTAAGCTGGGTAATCCAAAAGGACAAAAAACAGTAAATCCCAGAAACATCAAGCCACTTTAATCAAAAAATATTTTTAATATGGTGTATAATAAGCATCCAATCCATCCATTCACTTATTTCTTCACTGATTCTGCAAATGTTTACTGATTGCCTACTACATGCTAGTTCTAGGGCCTGATGTATAGAAGTGATCAGCATGAGACAAAAATCTCTGCCCTTGTGGAGCTTAGTAGAAATTCTAGAGAGGGAGATAAACAATAAATAAGATACATAAGTAAAATGTGATATGCTGAATAGTGACAACAAGAAGACATAAAATGTAGCAGGGAAGAAGTATGTTGTAGGACAGTAGAAGAATGGTTATTCTTTAAGATAGGGTGCCTGGTATTATTCATACTAACTAGCCAAAAATTAGAAACTACCTAATGCCCATGAGCTGATGAATGGATAGACAAAACGTGGTACATCCATACAATGAAATATTATTCAGCCAAAAAAGAAATGAAGTACTATTCATACTATAGGGCCGAGGAACCCCCGAAACATTATGCTAAGTGAAATAAGCAAGAAACAAGAGATCGCATACTGGATGATTCCATTTATGTGAAATGTCTGTAAAAGGCCTATCTACAGAGTCAAGAGATCAGCGATTGCCTGGGGTAAGGGTAGGAACAGAGATTAACAGTAAATGAGCACAGGTTAATTATTAGGGTGATAAAAATGTTCTAAAACTGATTAATGACAAAAGTTGTACACTTTGGCAAATCGAAAAACTACTGAAATGGACAACTGCCAGGGGCAAATTATATATGCAAAATATGCTGCAATAAAGCTGCTGTTTGTTTTCAAAGATAGGGTAGCTAAGGAAAAGGTGGTATTAGAATGACAATTTAAAGGAAGTGAGCCTAGCAGGCATCTCACCTTCCAGCCCATGGAGTAAAAACGCAAAGGCCCTGAGGTGGGAGTGTGCCGGGTATATTCAGGAAGCAAGAAGTATGGCTAGAGCAGGGGCACTTGGGTGGCTCAGACAGTTAAGTATCTGCTTTCAGCTCAGATAATCTCCAGGTCCTGGGATCGAGCCCCAAGCTGGGCTCCCAGCTCAGCAGGGAATCTGCTTTTCCCTCTGTCTCTCTTCCTCCTTGTGCCTTCTCTCTCAAATACATAAATAATATCTTAAAAAAAAAAAAAAAAAAAGATATGGCTAGAGCAGAGTAAGCCAAGAAGAAAGGAACTGGATGGAAATGAGGTTTGACAATAATGGAAACTGGATGGTGTAGGACCATGCAGGCATGACACAGAGTAAGCTGCCCTCCATCGTAACTTCTGTTAACAATGCACAGAGCATCCTAGCCGCTGCAGGAAGTTAAAGGAGGGTGTCCTGTGTAGGGAGGTACAGAGAGAGAAGTGAAATCATAACATGCAACTGATGACTGAGAAAACCCAAAAGAATCTGTAGATAAACTACAGAATAACAGAATGTAGCAAAGTCTCTAGATACAAGATCAATATTAACAATCAATTGCATTTTTTATATACCAGCGACAAATATTAAAAGTACTTAACATAAAAATGGAAGCTTTTAAAACTAACCAAAAAAGTAAATTACCCAGACTTAAAACTACTACTAAGATGTGCAAAAGTACTATGGAGAAAATTAAGCTGTATGAAAAAACATTAAGGAGTTACAAATGATAAGGATGTCAATTCTCCCATCAGTAAATCTATAAATTTAATGAAAACTCCAATCAAAATCCCTATAAGTTGTCTTTTCTTTTTTTTTTAAAACCTCTTCTTGGAAAAAGAGCAAGCCATTTTGGTGAAAGGAAGGAAGGAAAAAAACAAAGAATTAACATGGTGGGATGACTTTCCTAACCAAATATCAAGACTTACTTTAATGTTAGAATAATTAAGACTATGGCACTGCTGATATATTTGGCTTTTCCCCAAAGCTTCACTGAGAAAGCTACACATATATACAATATGTGCATATATATATTCACACACACACGCGTTAAGTGTACAGTGTGATGATTTGATATATTCACACACACGTTAAGTATACAGTGTGATGATTTGATATATGTATATACCATAAAATGATTACCACAATCAAGTTAATTATTAATTAATGCATCTATTACTTACTTTTTTCTTCTGTGGTGAGAACGGTTAAGATCCACTCTTGAAGCAAATTTCAAGTACATGATACAGCATTAACCATAGCAATCTGACTACGTATCCGATGCTCAGAACTTACTCACTTTATTTATAACTAAAAGTTATACCCTTAGACCAACATCCCCTCCATTCCCTAGACTCTGGCAATCACCATTCTAATCACTGTTTCTATGAGCTCAACATTTTATTTTTTTAGATTCCACATACTAGTGATACCACACAATACTTTCTCTGTGTGGCTTACGGTTCCAGGTGGTATATTTAAATCTTTTCAGCACTTTTTTTTTTAAAGATATTATTTATTTGACAGAGAGAACAAGAGGGAATATAAGCAGGGAGAGTGGGAGAGGGAGAAGCAGACTTTCTGCCAAGCAGGGAGCCTAAGCGACCTGAGCCAAAGGCAGAAGCTTAAGGACTTGAGCCACCCAGGCACTGCTCTTGTGCATTTTGAGTTAGTTTCTGTTGAGTGGTGTCAGATAGGGATCCAGTTTTATTCTTTTGGATATAACCAGTTTTCCCAGCACCTTTATTGAGAAAACTATCTTTTCCCTGTGCTATGTTCTTGATGCCTTGTCAAATATTAGTTAAATGTGTATGTGTGGATTTATGTCTATATTCCTTTGGTCTAAGTGTATGTTTTATGCCACTACCATACTGTTTTGATTAAAGTAGCTTTGTAATATAATTTTAAATCAGGAAATGTGATGCTTCCAGCTTTGTCTTTCTTGCTCAAAATTGCTTCAGCTACTTGGGTCTTTTGTGGTTCCATGTGAATTTTGTATTATTTATTCTATTTCACTGAAAGCTGAAATTGGAATTTTGATAGGGATTGCACTAAATGTGTTGACTGCTTTGAGCAGCATGGACAATTTAACAATACCAATTTTTCTAATCCAAGACATGCAACACCTTTCCATTTTTTGTGTGTCTTCTTCAACTATTTTTACCAATGACAGTTTTCAGCTCTTTCACCTCCCTGGTCAAACTTATTTTAAAGAATTTTATTGTTTTTGATCCTATTGTAAATGGAATTATTTTCTTAATTCCTCTCTTAAATAGTTCATTGTTCTTAATTCACAGAAATACAATGGTTTTTGTTTGGGTGCCTGGGTGACTCAGTTGGTTGAGCAACTGCGTTCAGTTCAGGTCATGATTTTGGAGTCCCAGGATCGAGTCCCTGCTTCTCCCTCTGACCTTCACCTTCTTGTGCTCTCTCTCTCTCTAAATCAGTAAAATCTTTAAAAAAAAAAAAAAAAAAAAAAGTTTTTGTTTGTTGATTTTGTATCCTATAACTTTAGTTATTATTATTAGTTCTAATAGTATTTTGCTAAGAATTTTAGTTTTCTATATGTAAAATCTTGTCATCTGCACACAGATAATTTTATTTCTTCTTTTCTGATTTGGATGAATTTTATTTCTTTTACTTACCTAGCTCTGGCTAGGACTTCCAATATTATGTTGAATTAAAAAGTACTAAGAGTGGGCATCCTTGTCTTCCTAATGATGTTAGAAGAAAAGCTTTCAGATTTTCATGAATGGGTCTCATGTTAGCTGTTAGCTTGTCATATATTGCCTTTATTATGTGGAGGTATATTTCTTCTATACCTAATTTGTTGAGGTTTTTATCATGAAAAAAATGTTGAATTTTGTCAAGTGCTTTTTATATTTATCTTTTTATAGTGAGATAATCATGTGATCTTTATCTTTCATTCTGCTAAGGTGGTATATCACACTGACTGATTTGCATATATGGAAACCATCCTTCATCCCAGGGATAAATCCCACTTGATCATGGTGTTTGATTCTTTTAATGTCTGTTGAATTATTTGCTAGCACTGTGTTGAGGATTTTCGCATGTTATGTGCATGAGGAATAATAGCCTGTGATTTTCTTTTCTTATTGTATCCTGCATAGCTTTGGTATCAGGGTAATGTTGGCTTCATAAAGGGGAGTTTGGAAGTGTTCCATCCTCTTCAATTTGGGGGAAGAATTTGAAAAGGATAGGTATTAATTTTCTTTTTATTGTTTGGTAGACCAGTGAAGACATCTCATTCTGGGATTTTCTTTACCGGGAATCTTCATTAATGATCTAATCTCCATACAGGTCAGTTCAGGTATTCTATTTCTTCATGAATCAGTCTTAGTAGGTTGCATGTTTCTAAGAATTGATCCATTTCTTCTAGATTATCCAATCCGTTGGCCTAGCATTGTTAATAGTAGACTCTCATGATCATTTGTATTTGCAGTATCAGGCATAATGTTTATG